GAATTCTAGGAGTTGAAGTCCACTCATCTTAAAGTGGCCAAGTTTGGACAACACTGGTTTACACCAATTCTTGGAAAACCAACAGTGGCTTCTTCCCATCTTAATTACAGATTGTCAAGGAATATGAGCGTGCCATCATCTTTAGACTCGGACGCATCCTAAAAGGAGGTGCAAAAGGGCCAGGTGAGTTGTGAGTAGGATAGGTTGGGGGGTTTTGTGTGTGCTGGCAAACCATATAATGCATTTCTTGGTAGTTTCCATCCTTAAAATGAGGATCAAGGGAGTTCTTGAAAGGTCTGAATGTATACCTTCCCTAAAGGGCTTCTATTAAAAATAGGTTACATCAATGGAGCGCAAGGTCAGGTTACGGCTTTAGGATGTTAGAGGTTGGTCTCCACAGCAACCAGATAAAATAAAATCTTCCTACCAGTAAGGTTGGCAGTCGATACGAAGGTCCTGTCCTGATTTGCTCTTGCCTGTTGCACAGAAATTGGAAATGAAGATTTTATGTGGAGGTCTGTAAACATTTATAATGAAATCCTCCTCTATAATTGCCATTCAAAGCATAGTTAGACAGCCTGGTGGAGAAATTGGCCCTTTTCCCATTTGGGCTGACCTACAATTGGGCTTCTGTGTGGTTATCCCCTTCTCTCCTTGTCCCTTGTTCCATCTCTCAAGGTTGCCACAAAACAGGTGTCTGGTGGAGTTTGGACTAAGGCAGCCTTTCCCAACCTGACCCTCCTGATGACCTCAGATGATCCTCTTTGGAAATCCCAGCAACACAGAAAGGACTGGGTGGGGGAAAGCTGGATTAAATATCTTCCATGTACCTGAAGAGCAAGTGACACTGAATTCAGAGTCTGCAATGTTTTTTTCCCCTGCAGGGCTGTTTTTTGTCTTGCCTTGTACGGACAACATAATCAATGTGGACATGAGAACAATCTCATTTGATATTCCACCACAGGAAGTAAGTGTTCCCTTTCCTTGATCTCTTGGCTTCCCCTGTGAATATCAGATATAAATAGCCTCTGCTCCCCACCTCCCATCCCCTTTTCTGATTCTCCAGTAAACACAGTTGCAAATGCCAGTTAGACTTGAAGCTGAAAAATGGGGGTCTTCCCGTAGAGCTTGTCTTCTGCCGTCTCTTGATCTGATCTGCAAGACGGCTGTCAAAATTAGGGCACTACAAAATGAACTGGAATGGGTTACTGAAATGCAAAGCAACAACCAGAAATTCTTGGTTTCCAAGCTTATGGAGATCCTTCTTATTTGCTTGCCTCTGAGAAGGTTTGGCGGGAACAGTGGAGAAGCATTTTCTGGGTGGTCTCTGGTCTGTGGATTTATCAACCCATTTTAATCAAACCTGATGATGACAGGATTCTAGGAAAACCATTAATATTTCCTTTTTTCTCCGCGGCCTTCTTTCGAGCAGTCTTTTTGTGTGATTCCAGCGTTGTTGGTGGTGTTTTTCTTCTTCTTCTTAGCATTATTATATTTATGGGGACAGAATTTTGATTGTCACTGGCTTTTTTGGAATTTGAAAGTCTGTGTTTGTAGCCCTCTATCTCCGTGAACCGCCTTGAGAACGTTTTGTGCCCTGAAAGGCAACTTAAAAACGTCAACAACTCATTTTGGTAGGCAGCCTTTTTCCTTTGGAAAAAAGTACATAGATGAGGGGTGGGTATTTGTTTTTGTTCCTGTCCTGTTCAGCTTAAATCAGAAGCTGCATTTCTCCTGAGATCGGCGCAATGGATGTGGCGTTCCATTTCTGAACGAAGGGAGCCAAAATGTCCTGTAATTGCCTTGTTTATATTACTAAAAATAGAAATAATTCTGGTGGTTGCTATAATGACACACACAAGCCTTTATTAGGGTGCAATTCCAAGCAAGACTAGGCTCTAAGGATGACCACTGCAGAATCTATTTGGATCTGAGAAGATGCATGTCCTGCTGTTTCACAGCTGGCAAACCTATCTATAAAAGAAGCATGACAACTTCCAGGTGCACCTCTAGGTGGGTGGATGCATTAAATCATGAGGTGGTTTGCTCAGGTCAATGCAGTGGATGACGTAGAGAAACGAAACCACTGTTATTAAAACCCTGACTTAGCATGTCGTTTGAATCAGACTACAGGTATGCAGTTACAAAAGGAACGTGGCTCTGTCTCTCCTTTTGAAAACTGGTTATATCCCTGTATGTTAACCCTTCTATGAAACAAACCCATGGGCTTCTTTTTACAGTTCTGTTTGGGTTCAGTTACCACTGAAATGTTCAAGCTGGGAGTGCAAACATTTCATTCCATTCTTTTCATTCCCTTCCAATTTCATGTTTTGTTGATCTGTGAGCCTTTAAGCCAATGTTCTGGGAGTTGAAGTCCACACATCTTAAAGTTGCCAAGTTTGAAAAACCCTGCTTTAAAGCCAAGGTTTGATTTGCTCTTCTGCTGGGTAGGCTTGACAGTTTTCAGATGTGTATCCTAGCTTTTTGTGTTCTCAGAAGACTATTGAGAGTAACTCCATGAAAAGACAATTTCAGACAAAGATCTCTGAAAATCAGGTAGTATTTTTATCCCTTTGCCTTCCAGTGTGTTTATAAGTGCTTTGGGGGTGCCTCAGAGATGCAACATGACTTGCCCTTCTCCATTTCTTTGGGGGGTATCTAGAATCCTCTCCATCAAGACTTCTTCAACTTTGTTCCCTCCAAATGCATCTTTTGAATTCTCAGTGATATAGTCATGTTTGTGGTGGAACTTTAGCAGTTGAAAGTCTGTACATCTGCACAGTGCTCATGATGGGAAAGATTGTCCTGCACCAGAGGTGGACAAGCTTCAAACTGGCTCGATCAACCGTTTTTAAACCAGACACCCAAGGTTTACCAGGCACTTATAAAAACCACAAGTTGAGTTTACACAACATGCTACGCCATTTTTGGCTTTTGTCTGGTTTGGCATCACGTGTGGTGACCTTGTCATTCTGGTTTGTGGTTTGCGTGACCCAAGACCATTGTGATTCATCAGTGAACTTTGCTTTTAAAAAATGACAGAGAACAAGATGTGAACCCAGGTCAAATCAACCCTAAATGGTGCTGCTTAGCATGGCATTTTCTAAAAATTATTTTCCATCCCCAAAGCATAACTTAAGTAGAGAAGAGTTGAATGGCTATTTTAAAATAATTAGGAATTAGAAACCCTTTTTGTGATATACTGCAGATTGCCTAGAAATCTGCTGGTGGGTCCTGATCTACCATTTTCTTAGCTGTATACGTAGCATGGCAGATCTGCAGGAGAATCCCCAGCATGGTTATTTGTGGTGATCTTGAGGTCACTGGTACAGATGCTCTGCAATATTATTGCAGTCTAATGGATTCTGGAGCTGTAGTTGCATGTCCCTTTTCTCATCTGATCTTAGAAGAACAAGCTCATAGTTCCACTTGATTTGGAAGAAAGAATCTCCTTCTATCTCTCTTCCCCCATTCCACCAACTTTTCTGCTAGCAGTGTGATTAGATCAGTCTGAGTTGCACAGGGTAGCAAATTAAATGAGGTAGGAAGGTTATGTAATTGTTGGAAGCCAAACTTCTTTCATAGGAGGGAAATAAGTTGCATTAAGGAGTAACTTCATTACTGCCATGGCTCCCAGAAGCTTAGATCAAATCAAATGTATTTTTGTAGCAAGCCAATTCAGATTCTATACATGCTGTAGTATTGGTAAAATCTCTGAGAATCCACATAAATTTTGCTTCTCTTATTCTAAATTTCCTCATCTCCTCCCCTTGAGGTTAGCTCTTCTTCAAGTGCTTGATTTGACCCACTTAATCACAATGTTTAATAGAAATCAAACCCTAAGTAGATGTAATTATATCTGTTCTCTGTTTATCCTTCAACTTGGGCTGTGAGGTTAAGCCAACCGTCATTAAAATTTCAGTGCCTTTAGGTGGAAAAGCTTCAGCTGTGCAACATCAGCATTGAACAAAATCTCTGGGTAACTAGATTTCGTAATTCACCGTTCTCTTTTAAAAGAAGTTTCAAAAGCAAATCATTTCTCATCAAGCAGAATGAGAAGTGGTGGGAAAGACATAGCATTGTTTTATCCAGGTCGCAAAATAATATCAACCCACCCAATTATAATGGCTTATGTTTATCCTGGTTTCTTTCTGCTCACAGTGCAATCTGATGAATGGTCTCAGTTTTGTGGATTAGAGATATCCATAGCTGCAACAGTTCTCGGTTATTAAGGCTGGTTCCTTGAGAACCTCAGCTCACAAGGTTGTTGCAAAGGAGGAGAACAGAAACCACATTTCAAGTGTGTTGCCCTTGCAAGGATAGCAATGTTATCCTTAGGTACTTACAAGAAGATGACTCAGGACAAGATACTGTTTTGCTCTGTTCACCCTGTAGAATATATGTCCTGATGATGTAATACGTAAAACTAAGGGAAAATGCATCCTGAAGTTGCTTGCTTCCTCCTTGAATGAGGCCAAACCCAGCAGCACCAGGAGGCTTAGCTGGCTCTATAAGTTATTTGCTGTGACACCATTCTCCCTGAAAGATCAAACTTTCTTACGAATCAGACTTAAATACGAACCACGAAACTTACTTCCAGCCATGCTCATGAGTCAGCCTGCAGCCTTTGTACAATGGGAATTCAATCCTCTCTTGCACCACCCAAGGAAGATTATACCTGTTGCCCAAAGGCACAGGTCATGAAGTTTGAGAAAGGGGAACCTGGTTTGAAGGCAGGCCATTGTGTTCTGTTTGCATTGGCTCCAACCGTGCCCATTCTAGAAGATAGGGTTGAAAAGCTACTTCTTTCATCTATCCATTTGGGCCAACAGAGACCTGTGAAGTTCCAGCTCGCCCTCTGTCACCTTTGTAGGTGTTCTCCTGAGAAAAGTTCCCTCTTCCTCCCATGCTACAAATAGCCTTTAATTGAAATGTCCCCCCCCCACCCCCGAAAGCTCCCTGCAATGCAGAGAAAGTATTATTTCCCCTTCATCCCAATTATGGCTGGGGCCAGCTGCTAAGAACCCACTGACCATTATTTTATAAGATTGACATCCCATTGTTCATTCAGGTGTTCAAGGAGGCCTATATGCTAGTTTTCCCCAAAAATCACCATTTTGTGAGATAGGCTGGACAGAGAGACAGCGAGAGAGATCGGCCCCAGGTCATCCAGGGACTTCCCAGGGCTGAAAGGAAGATTTGGATCTCTCCATTCCTGGTCCAAAATATTCCTTACTATACTACCCTAGCTGTCCATTGAAAGCTACATTAAACGAAGAGTGAGTGTCTTACATAATTTATGTAGTATCTAGCTGGATTCCATGGAAAGTGCTTCCGCAGATTAGAGTTTCTGGCACCAACCTTTGTTTTGTATGATGGGGTAGATTAATTAGGTGCTGATTTTCTGTTCCGTGCCATCTTAAAGCATTTCCCATGCTCTTTACTCAAGTTGTTCGTTGATTATTGCTGAAAGGGCCGATAAGAAAATAATTCTTCTAAATAAAGGCGGAAGACGGTGCGGTAGGCTTGGTTTTGGTGAGATGCACTTCTGCTGGCCTAGGAAGAGTGTTGTGCTGGAGAATTCACTGCCACCTCTTTTTTATTTATATGTATGTATGTATGTATGTATGTATGTATAAACTGTTTTGAGCCTTCGACGTAAGTGAGTTGAGATGTATGCCCTTAAGTGGGGGAAAACCCAATCAGATTGTGTAACCAGGGAACTCCCTGGCACTTGAGGGTTAATTTGTGTTTTGCAATATCATTCTAATGATGTGCCAGGTACCTATTGCCCCCTGGGTAAGCGGGGGAGGTCATTCCCCGTAGGTACCAGACACACCTCTTGTGACTGCTCCAAACTTCACCAGGAACTCTTCTTCAATATAAATGTAAAGTCTGGCAGTGCCTTAGTGCATATTATGCAGATCACTTCCTGATGCTGCCCAGAAAACTGTAGAGTTGCTTCCATGTAGCCACAAGGTTTTGAATCAAGCTTTGAATCAAGCAATATCTCTACCTTGATGACGTCAGAGTAACTAAGCAATTGGGGAGCCAGAAGGAGCACTAGGACTTCAGAGTGACATCTCTGCTTCCTTAACTGGAAGGCTGTGTAGAAAGCAAGATGACCTTGATGGAGACGTGCAGGATCTGTTGCTTGGGCAAAAGGGGATGAAACATATTTTAGGTCCAAAACGAGGTAACATTTGGAAGCAGTTCAGGCAGATGCCTCCCCGATTCACTGGAGTATAAGAAGGGGGAGAAGGAACAGCACAATCTGACTTGCAAGGTGCTGTTATGATAGCCAATCTCAATAAAAGTAGTTTTAGTGTTCCTATGGAGTGGATTTCCTGGTCTGGCTTGTCTAGTGGGGCTGACAGGCTGCTTGCATGAAACAAAGAGAAAGAGGATAAACTTGGCTTCAGTGGCTTTCCACAATCTGATTCTCTCCAAATACTCCAACTTTCATCAGCTCTAGACAGCAGAGCCAACAGCTGCCCAACAGTTAGGGAAATTGTAGCCCCAAATATCTGAATGGCACCAGGTTGAGAAAAGTAACATAGATTTCCACTGGATTTTAAACCTAAGAGATGTTGCCAGAAATATTGACCACTGGTGGCCACCAGTTGAAAAGCTATAAGTGAAGAACTGTTTGGATTGTGAAATAGTCAATAACTCCTTTGACTAATTAGCTGATTCCCCTAAGAAACCTTCATGTTTGTTTGAAAATAAGCTGCCTTGTCAGACTAGGGACTTCTTATTAACAGTTTGTAAACAGGCTCTGACTCTCTCTGGAACCTTTCTTCATTGGTGTCTTCTTCTCCTTCTCACCAAGATTCTCACCAAAGATTCAGTGACGGTGAACGTGGATGGGGTGGTCTACTACCGAGTCCAGAATGCGACCCTCGCGGTAGCAAACATCACCAATGCAGACTCAGCTACTCGGCTCTTGGCTCAAACTACTCTCAGGAATGTTCTGGGGACCAAAAATCTTTCTCAGATTCTCTCCGACCGAGAGGAAATTGCACACAGCATGCAGGTACGGCTCAGCGATAGATGAGGCCGGCAAATGGAACTGAAACTTTGTCCTGAAGATCTGGGTCACTTAAAAATATTGCCTCTGAAAGAAATGGAAACATGGATGATCTTTTGGGGGTGGGGGAGGTATTTCTGTGTTTATTTATCGAGATGGCTGGGCACAAGTGCTGTTTTCATCCTAAGTAACTTTAGATACTCCATGACAGCTTAGAAATCAAATGCTTGAAAATGGCAGCTTGTTTGCACAAACCCATTTTGGTTCAGAGGTTGTCTTTTGGGGCCCACATCAGGAGGGGGTCCAAAGGCTCAAATTGTTGGGGATGCCCATTCTCCCTGTTGCATCCTCATCTCTCTCCTGTTTGTATTTTGCAAACTCTTGCATCAGTTTCTTGGTAACAAGGTGGCTAACGAATCTGGTTCAGAAGCAACCTTAAAAGGACTGGCGTGTTGTTTGTCTTGAGCCTCGTCCAATTCTTTCAGGTCCTGAGGGAGACCCTGGTTTGATCATGATTTGTTTTAGCACACCCTGATGGCTGACTTCATTCCTG